TTATTCATATCCAATTTAATGAGCTGCTTCCTCCTGTTGTTTTTTTTTGGTTTAAACTGCAGTTATTGTCAGATGTGTTAAACAGATGTTCCCGCAACACTCAGGTTCTGGAACAAGACTAAAGTCCAGAGTTGGACAATGATAACTTTTTGCTCCCGGAGTTTAGAGCTGGTGAATGGGGAAGAAAAAGATTTGATACTGTGATGATTTTATCTCCTATGACCTCATTCCTGATTTTATTTTTTCTAGTCCCTCTTATGTCTTTCTCAGACACCTCATTTCCATGGTTACTAATTTTCCTTTTATGTTTTGTTATAAGTGACCGTGTCTGGCACTGATGGCATTGGGTGTGAATTAATAGGCTCTGTATGAGATGTCTCTTTCTGCTGACTGGGATTGACTTATGCTGTAAGAGGGCGCTAGCTGTCCCTATACTTGGCTAGCTTTGCTGCATCTGATGTTAATTTCTTCATCCAATTTAAAATCTTCAGCAAATATTGTTCCAAGATATTTAGACTCTGATGCCTGTTTAATATATGAATGCTCTAATGCTATATTCAAATTCTGCTTCTGTTTTCGTCTTGACATTACTTCTGTCTTTTTTATGTTGTTTCTTATATTTTTTTTATTTACATTCTTCACTCATGGATGTGAGATGCTGTTAAAGATTCATGGCTGTATCTGCAATCAGGGCCTGGTCATCAGCAAAAAGTAATTTGTTGGTGTTACTATTATTTTTGTTCCTGCACTTGGTTTCTTTGCTTAAACTGTTAATGTAGGTGATAAACAGGAGTGGTGATAAGACACATTCCTGTCTTACTTCAAATATTACTTTGAATGGTTTAGATGTTCCTTCTTTTATTCTAACTACGCTTCTATAATCGCTATATAAGCTTTTGCAAACATAAATGAGTAGTTCACTTATTCCATATCAAGCCATTACTTTCCACAACCCTGTGGAAAAATTTCTCCTGGTCTACAAATAAGTTCTGATCACAGTCAATGTTCTTTTCTGTTAACTGTTTAAGTGTGAAGACTGCATCTGAGCAGCTTCTAGTTCTTCTGAAACACATCTGTTCTTCTGTCAACTGTGGTTCTTTCACTGATCTCAGCCTCGTAACATGACTTGATAAAGAGACGCCTCGATATTGATTGCATTTCTTTGCTTACCTCCCTTGTTCTTCCACAATGGTACAACTACTGCACGTTGCTAGTCAATCGGAGCAGTTTGTTGAACCCATACTTCATTGAATATTCTGTGGGGCCATCCAATGGTGCTTTCATATGCTGCTTAGATAATTTCTGCTGGTAATCTATCAGCACCTGGTGCTTTAAATTTGGATGACTGCATAATAATTTAACTGCTTCAGTAATTAGTATAACAGGTTCTTAGCACTGTTGATTTGTAGCCTTTTGTTGTTCTTTCCTGGCAATCTCCTAAGGGCTTCAAGAGGTCACTGAAGTATTCTCTCTATATTTTAGCTTGTCTCTGGTGGGTCTATTAATGTTTTTCCTTTTTTGATTGTTAAAAATTTCTGTTGGGTTGTAGCTCTCAACTCTTTATTACATACTTTAAACTACTTAGAAAAATTTGCTGCTGGCTTTTTCTCATTTTCCTTGCTGCCTATATATATATATTTTGAAATGAACTAATCAAACCTCCTTTACTTCATTATTTGTGCACACGTTTAGGAAGTTGTTTAGAGCTACATAGCTTCAGTACTGTAGTCACTAGAGACTTAAATGTAAGCACAAATGTCTCTGGTAGGAATCCATAACAGGCAGATTGAAAAAAAAAATGTATATCGCCTCCTAATCTACCTAACCTAAAATTGATATGTTGGTGTGATGTTGACTACATTATCAGCCAAGCGACAGATGGTGTATACAAATTTGTGTCTCGCATCATATACGTGCTATGTATTATTTAGTATACATTTTGCAGCACTCTAACTTCCTTTACCTGTATAGGATTGTGGGGTACACAAGAGAAGTGCTTGGTGTATCTGCTAAGGTGCTCTGAAAATAATTTCCTTGAAAGTTGAATAGATTATCTAGGATTTCTACTGCTGGCTTGCCATCTAGGACACAATTCTTACAGTTTCAGGCATGGTCAAATGTTCAAGTAGCAGTCTAAAAGGGGGCGAGGGGGATGAGGAGGGGGGAGTGACAACCATTCTGTAGTAGCATCTGAGTCATCAGTAAATAAGAAATGAAAACAAATAATTGTTACGTCCCTTTGTATATTACTTATATTACTTATTTAGTTTTCAAGTGATGTTTCCGTTGAATTTACAGCAGTATTTCAAACAAGATACAGCTGAGAGCATGGCCACCATTAAGAACAATCGAACCATTTGTAAACAAAGTAAAGCATAATAATTAAGGACAATTTGCATAAATTAATTAACTCATGAAATAAAATGTAAACAATAATTTACACATTTTACATAGATAACATAATAAAAGCTGACAATTTAATAAATTACTTTTGTATTTTGGTTTTGGTGGAAATTATTCAGGATACTAACATATACTTTTTTCAGCTTTTTTTCCCCGTGACATAAAAAATTCACGTAGTTTGTCAAAGTGAAATCAAACCCTACAGAAAAAGGTAACTATTATATGCCAACTTCAAAAATTTTATTATGTTGAAACTACTTGCCCTTCAATAATGAAACAATGGTAGATCATGCAGGAGGGCATGACTATGTTATTAAAACTAACTGTACACAGAATTACATTTTCTATCATTAAATGTGTAATATTCTGTGAAAGCAAACAATTTAATTATGTACTGTAAAAAAACTCAGGGCATCGCAGGTCAACCCAGCCCAAAGTGGTTACTAGGATGTATGTTCTGAGAAAGTAAAGATAGCCGGCGTAATGCTGACCACATTACCCACTTAGTGCCGATTGGTCTGTAAAAATATGGGTGCTCCTTCCATCTTTACTTTACCTACTGTAGTTCTCTAAGTTTGTATTTGCCTCTTTATTATGTCTTCTTAACTATGTTAACTACAGGAGGACTTCCGGTCAAAATGGACGTTAGGCAGCGGCACTGTTCGAAACAAGGCAAATTTGTTGCTTCTGCCAGACAGTGGCCGATGCATTTTTGCTCCATTTGTAGACTGGATATAGTTTTGTCGCCCAGCTTCTGAGTTGAATGCATGGCGTGACCCTGTGAGCTGCGGATTGCATTTGGAATGTTTTTTCGACTGTGACCAACGTGTTGGTGTGAATTGTAGATTCAGAAAATGGCGTGATGCCTGTAGTGCAGTTTTGTGGTGCCCGTATGTGATTAAAATTGATCGCAAGGACAATTGCTGATCTGTTGGCGACTTCTGCTACCATCAATGATGAACTGCAATTCTAATACTGTGATAAATATTCTGTGTGTTTTTCGTTGGCACAGGAGCGAAGCAAAGATGGGGTGACCCATTTGCTATGAAGCTGAAACTAAAGACTACCAGACTACCAGATTGTTAACTACAGAAGCCACAGTGTCATAGTGCTGTACTTGACTGTAGAGTCTAGGTTCAATCCCCAACAGTTGTAAAAAATATTTTTAATTATAATGGCTCTGTGGTGGACAAAGCCTCATGGAAATGGATACCAGATAATTTCTAGAATTACCTGGACATTGTCTGCAAAGCAAAGGCCATGAATATACGGGAACAGACCACCTTAGCCATGAGTCATAGCCTAAAATTTATGGTCGAAAATTTTATATCTCAATGACAGTATCTGTTATGATGTGACCATAATTATATTGACTGTAAATCTGTGGCATTTTTGTGTGCAGTTTTTTAATACTTATTCCCCCCCCCCCACCCCCCACCACCCCCCCCCCCCCACCCTCCACCCCCAAAAAAAAGTTTTGAAAATGGTCATTATAAATAACTTACATATTTGTTAAAAAAGAAATTATTTGAACTGAAACATTTGTATATTGGTTCAATAGACATAATGTGTTATAGATGAACATTTCACTTCTTCAAATGAAATGTTTAGTATTCTATAGTTCACTTTCAATGTGCACAGGAAATGCAGTATATTTTCAATTTCCCACCTCCAACTGGCCATGCATTTAAATCTTTAGTGGAGATGAAGGCTTTCGAACTGGGCATTTTGATAAAACTTCATCTAAAGCTGGGTCCAAGAATACTGGCCACATCACTTATAGAGTGCAGCTTGGTCTGTAACAAAATTACCACCACTGCTACTATGCCAAGAGACATGGAAGGGGGGCTTATTATTGTTCAACTGTCCAAGTAGCCACAAGTATTTACTTATCTTCAGAACTCAGTGTCAAAGTACATGTCTGTGCCTGTGTGACAGCACATGTCTGTGCCTGTGTGACAGCACATGTCTGTGTCTGTGTAACAACACATGTCTGTGTCTGTGTGATGGCACATGTCTGTGTCTGTGTGATGGCACATGTCTGTGCCTGTGTGACAGCACATATCTGTGTCTGTGTGACAGCACATGTCTGTGTCTGTGTAACAACACATGTCTGTGTCTGTGTGATGGCACATGTCTGTGCCTGTGTGACAGCACATGTCTGTGCCTGTGTGACAGCACATGTCTGTGCCTGTGTGACAGCACATGTCTGTGTCTGTGTAACAATGTAACAACACATGTCTGTGTCTGTGTGATGGCACATGTCTGTGCCTGTGTGACAGCACATGTCTGTGCCAATGTGCAAAGTAATCTTCAAATTTAATCATGAAAAAATCCATAGTTTTAATGTATTGATCTATGTAATGACATAACATACACAAGGTAAAAAACACTGGAAAATACGTTAGGACTGACATATATGTTGAGGTGAAACCTGTAGTCTGGCTGTCATACTGGAGGCAGATGCAGTCATCACATTATCTGGGAAACTATAGGTTGTATGGTTCCACATTAGGGTTAAGTCTGCTGAAATGCCTTGGTAAGGTCAAGTAGACAGCTACACTCTACATCTCTCTAAAATGATGGAGCAAGGTCAC